TGCTCTCTTCCTCAAGGAGAGCTTTTCAGCAGGTCTTCCTGTGGAAATGGAAGCCTTCATTCTGTCTGTCCCACATGGTGGTTCAGTGCTTCAGACTGGCTTGTGTAATACAGAATGTACAGTTTAAGTACCTCCTGGCCGGTGTCTGCCACACGGGACATTGCAGGGCCAGAGTCACAGTCACACCTGTGTCCACTCTGCCTCACTGAGGGGGTTCTCCTTTCTTTTTTCTGCTTCCTATTTTTCTTTCATTCTATAATTTCTTAAGTTTTCTGTTCTTTTTAAATGTTTGTTTTTTCTCTAGATTTTTTTTTCTTCTTTGGCTTTTCTGTTTGCTGTACTCCTCTCCCTCTATTTTCTTTTGGGTATTTAGTATTAGCCCAGTCCTTGAAAATGTTTAGTTCACATTTGGGATGTGGCTCATGTCATTCATTCATTCATTCAGCAGCCACTGATGCTTGCTGAGGGCCAGGCACTGAGCCAGCTGCCGGGGACATGGCAGGCATGACGGCAGACCAAATCCCGCCCTGCGGAACAGTGGGGACTGGCCGGAATACGGCTAGGAGACTCAGCCCTAGCAATCGGCTCCTGGGCCTGATGCTGTTCCCATCTGAGACCCTCTTGGAACCACCTGAGACAGAGGGTCCCTGCAGCCCTGGGGCCTTGCCCAGACTTTGAGAAGGTTGCTAGTGCTTGGTCCTGGGGAGCTTGGGCAAGTGATTTCAGGGGTAGTTGCACTGGACTCCGGAGATCTGAAACTGTCATGCCCAATGGGAACTTCATGTCAGGTGGCAGTTTGGAGTAACCCATCTTTCTGTCCAGTGTGGGAGGGGTCCTGCCTGGCCACGCCCCTCCAGCCAGGTACCTGCAGGCTGGGGCAGGGCCCACTGCAGAAGCCACTCTGGGCTCAGGTACTTTCTCTTCATCAGAAAAATCACCTTCCCCCAAAAGAAAGGTCAAGCGAGGGGAGGGGGGCCATTTTCCTTTATTTTTTAATAAAATGCCACTTGCTGTCTGTGAAGCAGCTCTCTGTCAGCTGTAGCGCCTTGGGGCAGATTAATATTTCAGTCACTTGGGGATTGTGGAGGCAGGCTGGGTGGACACGTTCCTGTCAGCAACTTCTTGAGCCCCACTCTGCCTGTCCTCCTGCATCGGCTCCGCGCCCAGCTTCTACCAGGACCCAGCCCAGCCTCGGCCTCCTGGCCCTGTCTGGGCAGCTTGATGGGCGGGCGAGGTCACACAGTTTGAACTGCCCTGATTGGCTGTCAGCCCCGATCGCCCTGACACAGCAGATGCCCTTCCCGGGCATGCTCAGTGCAGGCTGGGCCGTCGCCTCGGCCACAGTGGGCCGGGGACCAGCAGAGGGGCCGCTCCCAGTCCAGATCTGCCACTTTCCCTCAGCATTAACAGAGTCTTTAATAAAAGCCTAAGCGGCAGCCCCACAAATTGACTGTGACAGTTGGTGGAGAAAATGAAGGGCCCCCGCCCCCGTCCCAGCCCCCTCCCCAGCCTCCCGCCCTTCTCCTCCGGGAGGCCCTGAGCCAGGACAACTTTGACATAATTTTGCAATAATTATCACTTGAAGAATTGCCACACAGGGGTACGCGTCGCAAGCGATCACGTCAGCGGGGAGAATCGCTGACCAGCAGCCAGGCCTCCCCAGGGCCCTGGCCCACCCGGCCTGCTGCTGTCCCTTTGGGGGAGATGGCGGTTTGTGCCCCACGAAGCCTTCAGCCACTCTGATGCCGTCTTCCTCCCCTTCCCTGTAGGAAGCGGGCAGCAGGCCACCCCAGCCAGGTTCCCCCCGGCCCAGGCGAAGCAGGAGCCTGGTGAGAACACGGGTGCCCCGGGCCCCCACGAGGCCTCCCAAGACCGCAGTCTAGATCTGACTGTGAAGGAGCCCAGGTGAGGCGAGACTGGGGAGGCTCCCCTGCTCCATCCAGCCCGGGCCTCCAGAGGAGGCTCAGTGGCATGCACCTTCCCAGATGCACGGCCAGGGGGCTGGCTGGGGCCAGAGGCCAGGGGCCAGTCCCCTCCTGGCCAGGCAGCTGCTCGGCCGGGAGGGTGAGCCTGTGGGCCTGGTCCCACGTCGTCTGAGCTAAAGCCCCTTGGTTTGTGTGTTCTAGTAATGAATCAAATGGCCACGCAGTCCCGGCAAATTCATCTCTTTTATCCTCGCTTATGAATAAGGTAAGACCCATCCATCACACGCCTCCCGTCCCCCACCCAGAGAAATTAAAGCTGTGCTGGGGGGTGGGGGGGATGTGTTTGTTTTTTAATGTTTTGCCTCTAATAAGATGAGTTTGTACCATTTAAATTTTGAGGCCATTTTTCATCGGATATAATTTCAGAGCCACTGCTTACAAATTAATTTAATGAACTGGCTGATGAAATATATTCCAGCCTCTGACACCTTTTTTTTCCCTTCAGATGGAGGGCTCCAAAAGCTTTTTCCAGAGCCCTCTAACTTCTTTCGCTCTTAGTTATTAATTTTATTTATTTATTTTATATATTTTTTGTTTTTTTTTTTAAAGGGGTGGGGGTGAGGGAACCAAAGGGGGAGCGAAGCATCAATTTCCACTTTTCGGGTTGAATAATGGTCTCGGACGCCTTCCGGAGAGGTCGCTTCGGAATATTTATTTTAAATAATGCAAGGTCTTTGTAAATTATACATCATCTCAAATATATTTTTCCCCTTCACATGATAAATTTGACTACAGCAAGATTAATTTGGTGACTGTACACAAGTGACTGCTGAGGAGGGAGCCGGGCCTGGGCTGCACCTAGTAGGGTGGGGGTCCCGGCCGGGCACGTAGGGGACAGGAGCCTCCTGCTGCTATCCCACCACCTGCCACCCTCCCTCCTCTCTCTCTCTCTCTCCTCTCTCTCTTGCCCTCTGGCTCTCTTCTTCCCCCCACAGCCACTGCCCCTCGCCTTCTGCGGAGCCTCCACCTCCACCCTGGCTCCCTCCCTGCTGGCACCCAGCAGCAGCCCGTCTTGCTCTCACCCCTTGAGTATCCCTCCCTCCCTCCCTGCTCCTCCTTTGTGTGCCTTCTCTTGTTCTCAAGGAATTCGTAGGGGTTCCCCCCATCCCTCCTCCTCTTGCACTTCTTTTGAAAACCTTCTGGCAGGAAAATAACCAGGGAGCCGCAAAGTCTGGGGAAAGACGGCTGCAGTGCGCCCCGAGCTGCAGCCTCGGCTTGAGTGATGGATCCTAGCAGCGCGGGGTGTGTGCGGAGGCGGCCTGCACCTGGGGCCAGGGCAGCGCTGCCAGTGGCCGCATCCATTCAGAGGGGCTCCCCTATAGGACAAGCCCAGTGGGGTCGGGGGCTTCCTCTGCTCCCTCTGCTGTCAGCACCACAGTGATCCAGTCAGTTATAAGGTCCGAGCAGACCAGAGCTGCTGCTGTGCCCTGGGCAGCTGCGTCTGTGTCCAAGGCCCCCAGCCCCAAGCTTGGCCTCTGTCCTCACAGATGTCTCAGGGCAACCCCAGCCTCGGCAGCCTGTTGAATGTCAAGACAGAAGTGGAGGGGAGCCCTGCTGTAGAGTCCTCGCCCTTCCTGGGCAAGGCTATGAAGGCCCTTGTTCAGGAGAAGCTGTCCGAGCCCTGGAAAGTTTACCTTCGCAGGTGAGGGTCTTGCTGGGAGGAGGAATGGAGGGGAGGGCCCGGCCACTGGCTACACCCACCAACTCTGGTGGCCGTTGCACAGCCCCCCACCCGCCCTGGCCAGGCCACAGCCTCAGTCTCTAACCATTGCCTCCTCTGGCTAGGTTTGGTACCAAGGACTTCTGCGACGCCCAGTGTGACTTCCTCCACAAGGCCCATTTCCACTGCGTGGTGGAGGAGTGTGGAGCACTCTTCAGCACCCTGGACGGGGCCATCAAGCATGCAAAGTGAGTAGGGGTCCTTGGGGGCCCCTTTAAGTAGCGCCCCATTCATTCCAGTCTGGCTTTGGGCTCAGGTCCGTCTGGGGACTGCACAGGCCTCTAGCTGCCCTCTAAGCAGGACCCAAGTGCAGTTCCCGCCAGACCACAGAATCCAGGTCACTTCTGATCAGCGCCCAGTCAGGTCCCCTGAGACCCTTCCAGGCCCCGCCTCGGGGCCCTGAGCAGCAGCTGCTCCTGCACATGGCCCCAGGTGGAGCCACCAACTCTACCACAGGTGCCCCTGCAGAGCAGCCAGAAAGGTGCAAAGTCCAGCTGGAGATCACTCTGAGCTACGAGATCACTTCTCCAGATTCCCTTTGACCTAAAAATAATGAAATTAATTTGTAAACTGATTGAGTTAAAACAGTAAGCCTAGCTCCCTACTTGTAATTGAATTCAGGACTTGTAAACATTTCAAACAGATCTTCATCACTCTCTAAACCCCAGAGCAGGCTTTTCTCACCCCATAGGCATCCCAGCTGCTAGCCTACAGAAGAGCTAGCTACCTAGAATACTGACAGTCCTGCCTTTAGAACCTCAGAGCACGCTCTGGAAGGTGGAGACTCATGAGGAAGGGCCTGCTGTCTCTCTGTCTCTCTCTCTCTCACACACACACACAGTAGGGAAGGGCTGGGGCAGGCAAAGGTCACAATAGGGAGAGGTAGTTAGAACCAAGCTAGGACCCCAAGTTCAGAACCAGAGGACATGGCAGTTTAGGGGAACATGGAAGACCTCCGGGGCCTGGTGCTTGGAATGAGGTAGGGCCCTGGGCAGGTCTTGTGATGTGATCACACCTTCCTGGGGCCCACCCAGCCAGGGCAGGGCTCACCTGCTAAGGGCCCTCCCCACTTGCTGGCTAAGATGCCCTCTTCTTCTTCTCGTAGCTTCCACTTCCGGACGGAGGGAGGAGCTGCGAAGGGCAACTCAGAGGCTTCCTTCCCAGCCTCTGCGGCTGACACCAAACCTTCCCTGGCTCCCTCTTCCCCTCCGGCACCTCCCGTCACCACAGCCGCCATGTCCTCTCTGGAGGGGCCCACTCCCAGCCAGGCCTCCGTGCCCTCCACCCCCACCCTGCTCGCCTGGAAGCAGCTGGCTTCCACCATACCCCAGATGCCTCAGATTCCAGCGTCAGTGCCTCACCTGCCCGCTTCACCCTTGGCAACCACCTCTCTAGAGAACGCCAAGCCCCAGGTCAAACCCGGATTCCTCCAGTTCCAGGAGAAGTGAGTCCCTCGATGAGCCGGGAGTCCCGTGTCCCCACGCGTCTCGGGAATAGGTGCTAGCAAGGGCGGCCGAGGAGCCCTGCTCCTCGCCCTGCAGAGGTACCTCTCTGGGCATGGCCGTCAGGTGCTGCCCTGTAGCCAAAGATGCTGCTGCCCATACCTCACTGCCTGTTCCGGAGCAGACCCGGGGGAACTGGGGCACTGTTCGGCCAGGCCACTGGTGATCCTGCGAGGACTTGGGTGGGAGTGGTGGTCCTCAGAGGATGTTTCCTGGCCCTATAGGTGGGCTGTCTCCCTCCGGGCCTCCTCGTTGGCCTCCTGTGTGGCTCGCACCCATGGCTGTCTGCAGGGCATGCAAAGTCATGAGTGGGAGATGAGGGGGCCAGGCCACCCTCTGGGCCTGCACCCACCTGCACAGTGGCCTGAACTTTCTGGTGAAAGGGACCTTCCTCACTGGATGGTGGTGGCTCGTTGCGGCGAGAACGGTGACTTTGTATCGTAATGTATGCATCTTCCTGTTCTCAATAAAAGTAATAAATTGGATTATTTATACCGCCTGAGTGGCAGCTGTCCTCCCTCTCTGAGCACCTGGGGCTGGGTCCACTGCATGGAAGGGGCCCAGTGCTCCTCTCCGTCCCTTCCCCTCCCCAAAGTGATAACCCTCTTAGTTTCCCAGACCTGGTCAGAGCTCCTCCCCCGGGTCTGCTATGGGGGAGCCACAGCGACGCCAACCAGAGCTGGTGCTGGAGCAGAGCAGCTCTGCACCCCTGCAGCCTGTGAGGAGGGCGCCATGGCAGGGGCTGCTGCTCACTCTCCCATCTCGCCTTGTGGGCAGGCCAGCCTTAGGGGGTTGGCCCAGCACCCCTGACACAGCCCCTGCTAATTCACTGGCTCTTGAGGTTCTGACTGGGTAGGCATCACAGGCTCCACCCTGACCCTGGGGAACTCCAGCAGCTGTGAGCCCTAGCCGACCCTGACACCAGGCACACATTCTCACTTCTGAGTCCCCACAGTAGCAGAGCTTCCTGGTAGGACGGTCCACCCTTCTATAGCATGTCAGGCAGCCACGTCCAAGCCAGAGCCTGTGCTATGCCAGCTAGGCACTTGCTGGAATCCCGCCAGGGCTGGCAACACCATCCCTTATGTTTATATCCAAGAAGTTATTGCAGCCATCCTTATCTATAATCCTAAGGTGTGGCTGTGGAAACTACGTGTCCCAGCATGCAATGCTCTGAGCACCCTGCACAGTACAATCCCTGTGCACCCTGCAGAGCTCCTAAAAGGAGATGGGAAAGCATGCTGGGATCTGTAGTCTCCTCCAGCTGAATCGTCCTACTGAGCAGGAGGGCAGCCCCAGGCCGTTCTTTCTTGCACCAGTTACAGCTTCTGGGAAATGAACCCCAACACAAGTGAAGTCAGGACTCCTGTGGGGAGGGGTTGGGAATGCCAATGACCTTCTGGGCTGTGGTTTCCTTCCAGTGATCCTTGCCTCGCAACGGACTGCAAGTATGCCAACAAATTCCACTTCCACTGTCTCTTTGGGAACTGCAAGTACGTCTGCAAAACCTCCGGCAAGGCCGAATCCCACTGCCTGGACCACATCAACCCCAACAACAACCTGGTGAACGTGCGAGACCAGTTTGCTTACTACTCTCTGCAGTGTCTCTGTCCCAACCAGGTCAGCATGATGGGCAGCTCGGGTGGGGGCAGGGGAGATGCAGGGCACAGGATGAGGTCCCTGTGGCAGAGGCTTTGTTCCTCACATGCTTTTTAAGTTGACCTTCACCAGACTCTGAAAGGATGCTGTCTGCCCCTGGGCCGTGGAGCCCCTGGGCAGGGTCCAGATGGGTGCTAAGTTGGTGACGTATGTCATTTCAGTCCTATCCCCCAGTGACTGAATGGTCACTGTGCACTTGGCATCATTCTTGCCTATCCTGAATGTAGCTATGTCACCTTTCCCCAGAGGCCTAGAATTTTAAAATAGATCCCTTAGACAGATGAACAGAACTGTTCGTGTCCAGGCAGAAAAGGTGGAACAGATTCACCTTAAAGGTCTACCCTCAAGACTAGTAGGGACTGCCTGAGAAGGAATCAGAACCGAAAGTCTGGGCATACAGAAAAGAGTGCTAGGGACCAGCAGGTGGCGTAACGGTTATGTTACTGGACTCCTATATAGTCGACTGCAGATCAAGTCCCTGACCCAGAACCTTCAAATTCACACCAGGTGTGTGTGCATGCATGCTCAAAATCCCAAGAAGAGAATGGAGGAGAAGGGATCAAGGCATGGCCATCTCCTCTGGGTGGTGATTTCACTGTCTCTTTGTTTCTCCGGGAGTGCACATGCCCTACAGCAAAAATTTCTCTAAAAGAAAAAAAAAAAAAAAGTGCTAGGGTAGATTAGTGATGTCTGCCTAGTCGGCATATAGGAAAAAGTACTAGGATGGATTAGTGGTGTCTGTTCTGGGAATGGGATTAGCGAGCAATTGCAAAATTACCAGGTGTGTTTTAGTGAAATAACAAAGGGTATGTACTGCTTTTAAACATGTGAAAGGTCTTCACACGATTTTGTTTTCTGACTCTGAGCATGGAAGAGCATGTGCACAAAGGGCTTGCCACAGCCCAAAAGCCTGGGGCAGGCAGGAACTCACAGAAATCACTCTCCTGTTCTGACCCTTCTGTGCCTCCCCACAGCACTGCGAGTTCCGAATGCGTGGGCACTACCACTGCCTCCGGAGTGGCTGCTACTTTGTGACCAACATCACCACCAAGCTGCCATGGCACATAAAGAAGCATGAGAAAGCTGAGCGGCGGGCAGCCAATGGATTCAAATACTTCACCAAGCGCGAGGAGTGTGGCAGGCTAGGTACCTATGGCCAGGGCTGGGGACCAGGGACTTCCTGCAGGCAGCAGGGCTATAGGTCAGCCCCTGAGCCTTGGTGGCCTGGTCGCTTCTCCTGATACTCACCTCTTGCTTGCCCCCATCAGGCCCCATGTTTTGTTCAAGATGTCACTGATACCGTAGGCTAAGCCCTATCAAACTCCAAATGACCCAGAGCAAGGGTGAGGGTAACTCAGAGCACTCCCACTTCTACCACCCACCCAGACAAGTACCCTGGCCTCATCTCTGGCATCGGGGTTTCATTCTTTTTTGCTTTTCTTTTCAAGAAGGTTTGCAGGTAGGTTCCTGAAATTCCTTACCCTGCGATCTGTCTCCATGGCTTTTGTTCAACATGGACCATGGTTGGCTTGTTCTTTCATTCACTGGGCAGCTATTTCTTGAGGAAAATCCATGTGCTAAGCTTGGTGCCACTGTGGGTGAGGGGTGGTGGCAGCTCGGACTATTGGAGTGTCCACGTGTGCAGGCCTGGGCTTGGTGCTGGATCTGGTGAAGGATATCGCAGGCTTTGCTAGAGCATCTGCAGAGGCTTTGTTCCTCACATGCTTTTTAAGTTGACCTTCACCAGACTCTGAAAGGATGCTGTCTGCCCCTGGGCCGTGGAGCCCCTGGGCAGGGTCCAGATGGGTGCTAAGTTGGTGACGTATGTCATTTCAGTCCTATCCCCCAGTGACTGAATGGTCACTGTGCACTTGGCATCATTCTTGCCTATCCTGAATGTAGCTATGTCACCTTTCCCCAGAGGCCTAGAATTTTAAAATAGATCCCTTAGACAGATGAACAGAACTGTTCGTGTCCAGGCAGAAAAGGTGGAACAGATTCACCTTAAAGGTCTACCCTCAAGACTAGTAGGGACTGCCTGAGAAGGAATCAGAACCGAAAGTCTGGGCATACAGAAAAGAGTGCTAGGGACCAGCAGGTGGCGTAACGGTTATGTTACTGGACTCCTATATAGTCGACTGCAGATCAAGTCCCTGACCCAGAACCTTCAAATTCACACCAGGTGTGTGTGCATGCATGCTCAAAATCCCAAGAAGAGAATGGAGGAGAAGGGATCAAGGCATGGCCATCTCCTCTGGGTGGTGATTTCACTGTCTCTTTGTTTCTCCGGGAGTGCACATGCCCTACAGCAAAAATTTCTCTAAAAGAAAAAAAAAAAAAAAGTGCTAGGGTAGATTAGTGATGTCTGCCTAGTCGGCATATAGGAAAAAGTACTAGGATGGATTAGTGGTGTCTGTTCTGGGAATGGGATTAGCGAGCAATTGCAAAATTACCAGGTGTGTTTTAGTGAAATAACAAAGGGTATGTACTGCTTTTAAACATGTGAAAGGTCTTCACACGATTTTGTTTTCTGACTCTGAGCATGGAAGAGCATGTGCACAAAGGGCTTGCCACAGCCCAAAAGCCTGGGGCAGGCAGGAACTCACAGAAATCACTCTCCTGTTCTGACCCTTCTGTGCCTCCCCACAGCACTGCGAGTTCCGAATGCGTGGGCACTACCACTGCCTCCGGAGTGGCTGCTACTTTGTGACCAACATCACCACCAAGCTGCCATGGCACATAAAGAAGCATGAGAAAGCTGAGCGGCGGGCAGCCAATGGATTCAAATACTTCACCAAGCGCGAGGAGTGTGGCAGGCTAGGTACGAATGGCCAGGGCTGGGGACCAGGGACTTCCTGCAGGCAGCAGGGCTATAGGTCAGCCCCTGAGCCTTGGTGGCCTGGTCGCTTCTCCTGATACTCACCTCTTGCTTGCCCCCATCAGGCCCCATGTTTTGTTCAAGATGTCACTGATACCGTAGGCTAAGCCCTATCAAACTCCAAATGACCCAGAGCAAGGGTGAGGGTAACTCAGAGCACTCCCACTTCTACCACCCACCCAGACAAGTACCCTGGCCTCATCTCTGGCATCGGGGTTTCATTCTTTTTTGCTTTTCTTTTCAAGAAGGTTTGCAGGTAGGTTCCTGAAATTCCTTACCCTGCGATCTGTCTCCATGGCTTTTGTTCAACATGGACCATGGTTGGCTTGTTCTTTCATTCACTGGGCAGCTATTTCTTGAGGAAAATCCATGTGCTAAGCTTGGTGCCACTGTGGGTGAGGGGTGGTGGCAGCTCGGACTATTGGAGTGTCCACGTGTGCAGGCCTGGGCTTGGTGCTGGATCTGGTGAAGGATATCGCAGGCTTTGCTAGAGCATCTGTGACCTGGGGAGACCCAGGAAGAAGGTGGCCATGGGTCTGGGAAGGGCCCGCCATGAGGGTAGGCTGAAGCTAGAGCTAATCCAGGACCACATCTTTGCTTAGCTCTGAGCTTATACGAATGGCCCCGAGCTTGGCAACAGGTGCCTGTGGATGGACTGTATTGCTGAGGGGTGAGCCCTGGCACAGAAGCTGCCCCCGGCCCCATCGAACTCACCGGCCTGAGATTGTTGAGGCCAGGAAGAGGGGGCACCAAGGCCAGCCGGCAGAGGCCAGAGCCCACCTTCCCACCTCAGGGTGCAGCCACATCCTGCAGCTGTGGGACAGGTGGAACCTGCAGGGCATGGGGGAGCCAGGCAGGCCAGGCAGAGACACCCAGGCAGCTAGGCCAAGCCTGTTGTGGCCAGGGTGCTCATGGCAGCAGGGTCCGTCTTGGGCGGGGAGCAGGGGTGGGGGCTGCTGCCTTCTGCAGTTTGGCCCTTCCATAGGTGAAAGGCGAGATAAAAGTCAACTGCCAGAGAGAAAAGAAACAAACCTTTCCTTCAAGTATTAATTCAAAGAGGATGCGTGGCTGGGGAGAGGGTCGGTAACCATGGCAACAAGTGTCAACACTCGGTCGCCTCTGCCGTTCGGAGGTTCAGTTTACAGATGTCAGGGCATTCTGTAGTTGCGCTATTTACTCAACTTTTGGTGTTTTTGGTGATAGCTGGGGCCAAACAAAGCTGGGGGATGATATAAGACACCTGGCCAGCTTGGGTGCCATGGCAACGGGCAGGCCTTCACCTGCCCTCTGCTGATACTGTTTCAATCCCGCCTGTTGTATTTGTTCTCAGCCTGGAGCGGAGCAGAGGTGGGTGGGGGCAGGGCAGAGGGCCAGCCAGCGCACAGGCGTCTGGGGAAGGTCTGGGGGGCAGCACCAGCCCAGGCCCAGATGAGATGTGGGGACAGGTGGCTTGCTGAGAGGTGGTGGCCCTAGTAGACAGGTTCATTAGGACCCTTTGCTGTGGTCCTCCTGGCATGGGGCAGGGGATGAGGTAGGAGGTTTCCTGTAGAAATGCCACCTGAGGAGAAAGTGCCCTTCCCCAGACACCATGGGCCCTGGCCACTTCCCTGTGCCCAGATAGTGCACAGCATACCCGGCTGTTGTGAGTGTGGGCCGGCGTGTGGCTCATGCCAGCTGGGACTGTGTCCACAGGCTGCAAGTACAACCAGGTGAACAGCCACTTCCACTGCATCCGGGAGGGCTGCCAGTTCTCCTTCCTCCTCAAGCACCAGATGACGTCTCATGCCCGGAAGCACATGCGGAGGATGCTGGGGAAGAACTTCGATCGCGTGCCCCCCTCCCAGGTGAGTGCCCAGAGCAGTTGGGTGGCCTGTCCCCAGCCCAAGTGATGAGGGCGTGCTGCCCATGCCACTCCTGCTTCCAGACAGCGAGGCCATGCCATCTGAATTGACAACCTGTCCCTGCGGGCAGTAGGCCCTCAGCCCAGCTTCCTCAGGGCCCCCTGCTTTCTTTCAGGGTCCCCAAAACCTGATGGACACTGAGACAGATGAGTACATGGATTACACGGGCTGCAGTCCAGGTGCTGTGTCCTCAGAGTCGTCCACTATGGACCGGAGCTGCTCCAGTACCCCTGTGGGCAACGAGAGCACCGCGGCAGGTGAGCAGCAGGCAGGGCTCCGGCCTGGCCAGGCCCGCTTCCCATGGCCCAACTGCTGGGTCCACCTTGGGACAGAGGCCCATGGTCAAGTGGCCTCCAAAGAGTACAAGCTGGTACGTGGCAGAGCCAGCTGGCCGGGGGTCTTGGGTCATTGAGGCCACCTCTGGCCGTCCTGCCTTTCTCCTTAGCGTCATCTCCCAGGAGAGGGACCTGGACTTGTCCCCCCTGAGAGCTACAGAGTAAAGCAGTGCAGCCCCCTGCCCACCTTCCAGCCCACCCCTCCTCAGGTCCCTCCATCCCCAGCTCCAGCTCGGTCCCTGGGCCCCAGAGCACACCTGTTGCTCGCCTGACCTGTCCCTGTGCTGCCCCTCCTGGGCTCTCTCCTCCCGCCCCCTTTCTTCTTTGTCACACCTCTCTCTGCTCGTCTGTCCACATATTTTCATATCACACTTGCTTCTGCCATCAGGTTTCTCATTTTGGTTCTTTTTGTTTGTTTGTTCTTTGTGTTGGTTTTCTTTTTTTTTTTTTTTTTTTTTCTTCTGCTTCTCTCCACCCTCTCCAGGCTGCCCGGCTCCTCCTCCTCTTCCTCCTCCTCCTCCTGCTGCCACTGGTGACGAGGCTGCCCACGGGGCTCCGCAGCCAGCACTGACGCCGTCCTTCCCACCGGTGCTGCGGCCGCCCCTTCCCTCCCTCCCATGCCTCTTCTCTCCGTCCTGTCTCTCATACTCTCTGCTCAGTGCCACTCTCGGAGCCAGCCGGGGCCTGGCCCACCCCATCAGCACGCCCAGCTTCCCGTCTGTCACTGCCACTCCAACTCCAGTAAAAAGTGACGTCCCCCTAGTTCAGGACGCTGCAGGTAACTCGCACGTGCCTTCTCGCCGGTGTCTGTCACCCCAAGCAACCTTTGAGGCCTGGCCCTTTGCTGCTGCTTGCTGGGCCAAGGACAGAGCTGCCCTGCACCTCTCACAGCAAGCACCCTGAGACTAGAAAGCCCAGTCGCCGCAGTTCAAGCACAGCCCCTGGTGGCTCCCTTTCAGCACCGAGCAGGCCAGAAAGTCTGCGAGAGAGCCTGTCCCTTCTGCTCTCAGTTCACCTGGGGTCGGCCCCAGGACAGGCAGGGGGTCTGGGGATGCTTTGCTGGCTGCTGGGACCTGCCTAGGTTTGGAGGGTCCTGATACTAACCTGAATCGCAGCTCCACCCCCAAAGTTGAGCAGGAAGAGGGGCCCTAAGCAGAGGCATCTCCCTGTCTCACCCCCATTATCTGGTGCTCCCCCAAGGATGGAGCTTGCTCACCTCTGTCCCTGGGTGCATTCCCCTAGCTGTCTCTTTTTCCATTCATTCTTGCTTCACGTTCTTGACATGCCAGGCCCCCAGGGTGATGACCGTGAGCCGGGCAGAGGTCCCCTCCCTCGTAGAATTCAGCCCATCCAAAGGTCTGGCACTGGCATAAAAAAGGCCCAGACAGCCCTGGGACTTTGGATCCGAAGCAGCTGCCCTCACCCACCTGGATTTCCAGGCTGAGACCCTCCCTTGCCCCCTGCCTGGGTACTCCCTCCCCTTCGTAGGCCTTGGCTTCTTTTTATCTGCGAAGGGTGGGTGACTGGGCCGGGTCCCCAGACAGGCAGTGCAGACGTTCGGTGAGTACGAGTAGCAGCTGAGGTTCAGTCAGGGTCATGGAGGGCCAGGCCTGGAGCAGGCCCCTCCCACCCCCACACTCTTGAAGGTCTGGGCCTGATTTCTCCTTCACTGCTGGGGGTAAGGGGGGAGGGAAGGCTGGGCTTCCTCCCCTGTAGCTGTAGGGCTGCAGGTACCTGGGGGACCGGGGGTGTAAACCACACGGTGGCCTCAGCTGTGGGGCGCCCTGGGTTCCTGGGAAGCAGTGTGGGGTCAGTGCTAGCACTCATGCGTGCGTATTCCCCAGCTGAGCCCCTGCTCTGGTCCTGGTCCAGGAAGGAGCTCTTGGCAGGGAGGGCAGAGGGCATCTTCTTAGGGTTAGTTCCCTGAGGCCTGCCTCCTCAGAGAACTGGCCTCTCTCAGCCTCTCTCAGCCCTCTCGGCCCATTAGGGACAGAACCCCCAACAGGACCTTTAAAGAACCTTCTGGGACCAAGGAACACCCTAGGGCAGGGAGTCACAGCCCCCAAGCCGTAGACATCCTGCAGGTCCCTGTGCAGACAGGGCTGTGGGGATGGGTTAGCTGGGGGAAAGGAGCTGCCTGTCCCTCATTAGAGGCCCGCGTGCGATGGCGTCCTGGCCCTTGTCCAACTTGGGTAATTACACTCTGCCGACCTAGATTCCCCCTTCAGCTTCAATTAGTGCCAGGACGTGTCCCCACTTCCCACCCAAAATGGCCAGGAAGCAGCCACCACATTCCCCCAGAGCTGGTGGGTGTGCCACCTCAGGGCAGAACCTGTGCAGTCTTCTGCAGAGCTGGGATGACACCGGGGAAGCCTAGGACTCCCCGAGCTGTTGGGGAAAGTGGCAGAGGTCCCCAGTGCCAGGGGAAGCCAAGGAGCTGTCCCTCAATGCTGCTTTCTAGCCACCATTAGTAGGATCAGCGGCCCTACAGGCGTGGCCTTGGGAATGGTGCCCATGTGGGGCCAAAGGTGGCACCCCTTCTGCGCTGACCTCCCTCTCCCCGCCCCTCCCCAGGGAACACCATCTCCATGCCCACTGCCTCCGGAGCCAAAAAGCGCTTCTGGATCATCGAGGACATGTCGCCGTTTGGCAAGCGGAGGAAGACGGCCTCTTCTCGCAAGATGCTCGACGAGGGCATGATGCTGGAGGGCTTTCGGCGCTTTGACCTCTACGAGGACTGCAAGGACACAGCCTGCCAGTTCTCGCTCAAGGTCACGCACTACCACTGCACACGCGAGAACTGCGGCTACAAGTTCTGCGGACGCACGCACATGTACAAGCACGCGCAGCACCACGACCGCGTGGACAACCTTGTGCTGGACGACTTCAAGCGCTTCAAGGCCTCGCTCAGCTGCCACTTTGCCGACTGCCCCTTCTCGGGCACCAGCACGCACTTCCACTGCCTGCGCTGCCGCTTCCGCTGCACAGACAGCACCAAGGTCACGGCGCACCGCAAGCACCACGGCAAGCAGGACGTGATCAGCGCCGCGGGCTTCTGCCAGTTCAGCTCGAGCGCCGACTGCGCCGTGCCCGACTGCAAGTACAAGCTCAAGTGCTCGCACTTCCACTGCACCTCCCCTGGCTGCCGCCACACGGTCGTGGGCATGTCGCAGATGGACTCGCACAAGCGCAAGCACGAGAAG